TCAGTTCTGATTTATCAGCCATGAGTTGCTTTAATTTACATTTATATCTCTGTTTACACTGTGTGTAGAGTCCTGTGATCTAATAGTAACAGAGTGAGAAGTGAGGAAGGCAGAAACTATGGGAGTATGCTGTTTTTATGTGCCATCAAGTGGAAACTAACTCCTAGCTGGCTCTCCAGCAGGTTATCAGAGGTGGTAAATTGCACATCTTTCTCCAGTAGAGCATCTGGTAGATTCAAACCACCTGCCTCTGGGATGGCAGCACACCTCAGATAAACAAACTCTGGTAACATTTGATTAATTGGCTCTTCTTGCATTGGGGAAGTCTGCTGTCAGGGACCTCTTTAGAGTACTGAAGAGCAACGATGTCAGTTTAGAGACTAAGGTACACCTGATACAGACCATGGTCTTTGCAATTACTTGCATCAGAGAGCTGGACAATGACTAAGGATTATAGAAAAAGAATTGATGCCTTTGAGTTGTGGTTCTGGAGAAGACTGTTAAACAGAACAGGAGAACAAACAGATCTGTCCGGGAGAAGGTGAAACCAAGCTGCTCCATGGAGGCAAGGATTTTGAAGTTTTATCTCACATACTCTGGGCATGTGGCCAAGAGGGACCAGTCCTTGGAGAAAAGCATCATGGTTGGAATGTGGTGGGGCAGCATAGGAGAGGAAAGCCCAGGATGAGATGGGTTGATTCAGTGACTAGATTAGTGGGATTAGGTCTGTTGGAGATGATGAGATTGGTTTAGGATAAAGCAAGACTCAGAGCTACTGTACATGGGGTCACTATGCGTCACAGGCGACTTGATGGCACCTAACAACAACAAGAACTCCCAAGAACTTGAGATTCAAGTCTGGCGGTGTAGTACGTAGGGAGTTGTGTTGCTGACCGAAGGCTGTTGGAATCTATCAACAGCTCCACAGGAGAAAGATGGACAGTCTTCTCCCAGGCAATTTAGAGCCTCTGAAGCCCAATGGAAGGTCATCCTTATGGAGAGATTGTCCTTTTTACCGTAGAGCAAATGGTGACTTCACCAGCCTTTTAGTTAACAATACAACATGTGACACACTCCACCACCAGACTGACTCTTATATACTTAGAAATTCTTAACGAATTGAAGATTTTTTAATAGATCATTTTAGGTGACTGGCTACCTCCTTATGCTCATTTTAATAAGCTAGCATATTGTGGTTTAGATACTGAGTCTCTTAAACCTTGGAAGTTGATACCTGATTTCTAGTGGTGTTGGGATACCATCTGCATGTCTGCTACTGCTGTCAGTTACCTTTCAATTATATCAGTAATGTGAACATATTTGAAGTGCTGTATGTAGATGGAGGGGCCATTCAGGACCTTGTGATTTGAGTAATTTCTCCTGAAATTTAGTGGATCATTTAATTGATAGTTTCATAAATAACACTCTCTAAGGTTGGACATAATATATTGTGAAGCAGTTTACTAGACTTCAGGTCCTTTACTAGTTTATGCCTTTCCTGGGGTTGTTGCAATGAAGTTCTACATGAAGTGAGGCATTTGATGAGAACACGTATTCGTTATGTCATTGTTCTAGTGTCCAACACCAGGGTGACAGCAGGATCAGGTTCCCTTCAAACCTCTCACAGAAGGTCTCTTCTTCTCTCTCACAGCTTCAGTAACCCCACGTGGCTACTTGGCTTGTGGTTGTACATAGCTCAGTTATCACTTCCTGTCTTCCCTCTATCTCTTCTCCTCTCTCAGGAGACACTCTGATTTGATTAGGAAGGACCAGCCCTATTCCAGCATTGCCTCATGTTCATTCAAATGATACCAACTTCAAAGACCTTGTTGCCTAACAAGGGCATTTTCACAAGTGGCAGGGATCTTCAGCATACCTTTTGGGGGTGAGACAACTAAATCTATTAGTAGTGAATGATGATCAAAGAATCCCTTCAGTCTCCTATGTACATCACGCTTGTTCATAGTGCATCCCTTTCTGTGTTGAATCTCTTTTGTTTCACAATCATTCTGAATACTTCCTCCCCAGCCTGGGTGAGACCTGGTTAGTCCTACGTGCCCACATGACTGTGTCCTGTTGAGTGCATGGCAGTGGCTGTAGAGCTGGTTCTTAGGAACCATCAGGGCCTTGGACACATTACAACTAAAGAACGTGGAAGAAGTGAATGCAACAATGAATAAATGGAAACCCTTAGTCTCTGTAAACTTTCATTAAAATTAATTGAGAAAAAAAGAATGTGGAAGAATTGGGCTTCATTTTGACGTTAGCTCTGTTCTTCTGCCTTTGCCAAAGAGGAACTAAAACTATCCCTATAGGATCAAGGTTTTAGGTTCACTCAGTGTCAAACTCTTCTACCAAATTTGAAAACCACAGAGATGTTCTTTTTTTTCTTTCCAAAAACTAAAAAGTGTGAGTTGATCTTTAAATGCAATGGATTCTGACTCATAGCTACAGATGATTATAGTTCAGTCCTGAAAAATAAATAGTAGTCACTCAGAAGCTTTAAAGAGCACAGCAGCAGATGGAGAGGCTTGTTTAGAAGTACGATGGGTTCACCGCATGGCATTTGGTGCTGACTCTGTTCTACCCCATAAGGGGCTTGGGTATTTGTTGGTTTTTATTTTCCTTTTTTTAATTTTGTAAAAATTATAGAAATCTATGTTATAAAATATCTGTCATTTCAACCATTTTTATGTGTAGAATTCAGTGTAGAATTTTAAGTGTAGAATTGAGCTCACGACATGTGCTCCCTTTACCATTTATTTCCCAACTTTGTCCATCACCTTTAACAGAAACTCAATATCCCTGAAGCAGTAATTTTCCATTTCTTTCTTCCGCTCTTCCCCTGTCCCCATAACTGCTAAGAAACTTTGGTGTCTCTGCACTTACCTATTTTGTCCTTTCATGTAAACAGACCATACAATAGTTGGCCTTTTATGGTTGACTTGCGATACTCGGCTTGATGTTTCCCAGGTCAATCCGTGCTGTGGCATGTTATCAGAACTTCAGTCCTCTTTGTGGATGAGAAAAATCCCATTGTCTGGTCCACATTTTAGTTATCCACTCATTTGTTGACAGACACATGGGTGGTTGCTACCTTTTTGGCTCTTAAGACTCGGGCTTCTGTGGATATTATTGTGCAAGAAAATGTTTGCATCCCATATGACAGGACTTTAACTTTTGGAGGAACTGCCAAACCCAGTATGGGACACTGTTACTCACCTTTCCTCCCTTTTTCCTTCCTTCCTTCCTTCCTTCCTTCC